AAAAAACCAGACTTACTGGCCTGACAGAGACTGGAGAAACCCCAAGAGTATGGCCCCCGGACACCCTTTTAGCTCAGTAATGAATTCATTCCGGAGGTTCGCCTTTTAGCCAAAGATGAGACAGATCCATAGGACAAAACCAGACTAATGGGGCACACCAGCCCAGGGGCAAGGACTAGAAGGCATGAGGGAACAGGAAAGCTGATAATAGAGAGAGTGCAGGCATGTCATGGGGTTGTTAACCAATGTATGTACTATTTAATGAGAAGCTAGTTTGTTCTGTAAATGTTTATCTAAAGTACAATTAAAAAAAAAGAAAAAGTGCATCAGGAGGCAGGGATCACTGGGGACCCTTGTGGAGGCTGGCTCCCATAGTTAAGTACTTTTTGTGTTTATATGTAACGTGTATTGAACATAAAACCATAAACTGAGGTCACATGAGATATTCTGTAGTTCCTAGTTTCACTGTCAGTTTCAGCTTCCCCCCACTCCTGTCTTCATCCCAGTTTTTTCAAAGGAGGAATTTTTAAATAACTCTTATAAATATAAAAAGTATATATATTCTAGATGATTCACAGAGCTCTAACATCTATGTCGAGCGTTATTAAACTTCAGTACTACCTATGGAGCCCTGGTGGCGCAGTGGTTAAGAGCTTGGCTGCTAACCAAAAGGTCAGCAGTTCATATCCCCCTACTGTTTTGGAAACCCTGTAGGGCAGTTCTACCGTGTTCTAAAGGGTTGCTCGAGGGCAACGGTTTTTTGTTTTTTGTTTTTTGTTTTTTTTTTTGATACTTCCTACAAATCTAGTAAATGCATTGCATTTGCTTTTTAATTTATGTTCATAATAAATTTATAATTTATGTATTTTATCACATTAAAGAAACTGGAAAGGAGAACAAAGAAAAAATAATAACAACTTATTATTTTAGGGGATTTCTTTCTAGTCTTTGTTTTCAATTTTTCAAATGCACGTTTTTACAAAGTAGTTATCCAGGTGTACATGTTACTCCCTAGCCCTTTTGACCTTTTTAATCCTTACAAATTATAACAGATGGTAGATTTTCTGTTCCTCAGGTACTGCTCTTACTGGCGAGGGAGAGGGAGAAAGGCTTCAGTACTTACAGACACTCTCCATCCCCCATCTCTGTTTCTCTCCTTTGGGATGCCAGAGACAGTAGGAAGAAGGTGGCGGGGTTGCGGGGGAGGATTGGGAGGGGGCTGGAAAACAGCAGGAAAGGTCTGGAACAGACTTTGCATCAGCATCCTTTTCCCTTAAAAAGCAGGAGATTAATCCTATATAGGTCTCTGGCATATACATCTGTGCTCATGGAAGGAACCACGTTTAGTTTTATGAGACTGATTTTAGCCTCTTGGTTCCCTTTCTCATTCCAAAAAAAAAGCCAAACTAATTGCCAGTCAGTCAATTCCGACTCATAGTGGCCTTACTGGACGGAGACTGGACGGAGTCGAACTGCCCCCAAGGGTTTCCAAGGCTGTAAATCTTTACTGAATCCTAACCCTCAGTACTTGTCAATGTGACCTTGTTTGGAAATAGGGTCTTTGAAGATGTTATCAGTTCAGTTAACATGAGGTCATATTAGAGTAGGGTGGGTCCTAATCCAGCCCCACAGAGAGATAGAGGGAAGCTGGAGAGGCAAGAAAGAATCTTCCCCGAGAGCCTTCAGAGAGAACATGGCCCTGCCAACACCCTGAACTCGGAATTCTGGCCCCTAGAACTGTGAGACAGTACATTTCTGTTGTTTTAAGCCCCCAAGTTTGTGGTATCTTATTATGGCAGCCCCGGGAAATAGTACAGCCCTGCATAACTTTTTGACATTTAGGATATTGTGGCCGTTTCTCAATAATTTGTGCCTGGTTTATAAGTGGTATGTGTCTGAACATTGCTTTCTGTAGTTGTATCTATACAAGGAGTGGATGGTTGAGAACTGAGCCTTTAGCCACACTAGAAAATTCAGTCCCTACTTACTGCCCTTGTTTTCAAAGGTAGGTTGGAGGACCTTAACTATCCAGGTGCTTAGTCTGGCTGTCCGCTTCAGATTGCTCAGGTCAACACAGCTTTTTATGAGTAATTCTTAGCAGCTATCGGTAGGAAATTATTGGCAGCTCCTAAACGTTTTGCTTTTTTCCTTCCAGGATGGGAAGGTGATCGTGTGGGATTCCTTCACTACTAACAAGGTAAGGCGTTTTTCTTGGCCATATCAAAGCATCTCAGAATCTCAGCATGGTTTAAAGGAGCCTGGGTGGCGCATGGTTTGTGATTGGCTGCTAACGTAAAGGTTGGTGGTTCAAACCCACCCAGCACCTCCAAGGAAGAAAGGCCTGATGAACTGCTTCCATAAGGGTTGTAGCCAAGACAACCCTATAGAGCAGTTCTACTGTGTAACATACAGAGTCTCTATGAGTTGGAGGCCAACTTGACGGCAACTAACAACAACAACATCTGGTCTAGCTACCCAGCGTCCTCCTGCTTCCCCTTCCTGTGCCCCTGTCAGTGGTCCCCCTGCCTCTAGGGAAACTGTCTAGTGATTGGAAAGCCCATCCGTGTTGGATAACTCAGCCCATTGTAATATGTGTTCCTCCCTCGAGCTGAAATCTCTCACCCTGAGAGGAACACGTAGAACAACCATCCCGTTGCCACTGAGTTGATTCCAACTTGTAGCGACCCTGTAGGACAGAGTAGAACTGCCCTATAGGGTTTCCAAGGCTGTAATCTTTATGGAAGCAGACTGCCACATCTTTCTCCCATGGAGAACCACCATAAATGGTGCTAATACTAAAACAAGAACGGCCATGTCATGGAAAAGATGTCAGATTTACACAACCAGATTTATTGTTTTTGAGTGATGAGAAAGTGGTACCAAAATTCCTGGTTTTCTCTCCCCTGTCTTTGACCAGACTCCATAGCAGTGTGGAGGTGAGCAGTTGGTGGGTGGGGAAGATGATGGTGCAGTGGGATGAGGTGGAGTCTGAGCCCGTTGCACATTGAGCCAGGGTATGCATGGCCCCAAATTAGATCTAAATCTAGCCCCTTGACTAAAGAGAAAAGCCAAAATCCGTGTGTAGGTGGGCTTACATGCCTGCATGATATTGCCATTTGCAATAAAGAATATTGTGTATTAAATATTTATTTAGAAAGAAAGTGTTCCTTTCTGTATACAAAAAAGGAGACCTATATCTCCCCCAGTTCTGCATTACTGAAAGTATTTTGTGAATGTTGTGGTAAGCAGCTGTTCCACGATGCGATCAAGTGGAGGCCCAGAACCATTTTGTGGAGTCCCTGATGATCTGGAGAATAATACAAATAACAGCAATTTCAAAGGGTTTTCATATATGTAGTCTCCTTGGAAGCCTCTTCCTCTGCTAGCATTTTTCAGCATCCTCTGGAGTGCATGGGGTTCTGCCTTCTCTTTAGCCCCGGCATGTGCAGGGCATGATGGGGTTCTGTACTTCCATTTAGCCCCGGCGTGCGCAGGGCATGGTGGGGTTCTGTGCTTCCATTTAGCACTGCCACAGAGCACGGGCTGCCTGACTTGTGGAGAGCTGTGGGAAGTACCACTTGTGGCCCCTAGCAGGAAATGTAGCCACTGCTTATAAGGAAGGGGGACCTGGGGTGCCCTGTGTTGAGAGTGGCCACCTAGAGCTCATTTCCTGAAAGGAAGAGGTAATTTCTTGACGTCTAGAAGGCTGTAAGACCGTGAATGACAACAGAATTTTGGTAGGTAGCACTGGGGCCTGTGTTTCCCCACAAAAACAGAGGATCGTAACAGGCAAGAAGATGACCATGTGAGTGGACTTTCAAACTCCTCCAATCCAGTCCCCTCACTTCACAGGTGGAGAAGGAGAGTCGGCCTAAGTGGGGTCACACATCTTGTTGGTGTCAGGACCAGGAACAGAGCCCATGTCTCCCACCAAAGGATTCACAAGTTTTTGAAACATGGCTTTTGTTGTATATTTATCTGCATGCAAGTGGAAATAAGGGACTTGACACCAGCCAGAAGCCAGGGACTGTTACATCTCAGTTCTTAGTACTTCCATTTTATGGGTTCCCTTTTATCCATGAGCATGACTCAAAACCACCCTCCTTAGCCCATGCCATACCTTCCAGGAATTGGTTTGGGATCCACAGGGGAGAAAGGCTCTTACAAGTAAACAAGCTTGTCATATACATGTAAAAAGTCATTCAAGAGTATATTATAACCAGTACAACTAGATAGTGCCCAGCTACCAACACTGACTGCTCTGATAGGGATCACCATAGAGGGTCCCAGACAGAGCTGGAGAAAAATGTGGAACAAAATTCTAACTCACAAAAAAAGACCAGACTTACTGGCCTGATAGAGACTGGAGAAACCCCGAGAGTATGGCCCCTGGACACCCTTTTAGCTCATACTGAAGTCACTCCTGAGGTTCACCCTTCAGCCAAAGATTAGACAGGCCCATAAAACAAAACGAGACTAATGGAGCACACCAGCCCAGGGACAGGACTAGAAGGGAGGAGGGGACAGGAAAGCTGGTGTTAGGGAACCCAAGGTCAAGAAGGGAGAGTGTTAACATGTCGTGGGGTTGGTAACCAATGTCACAAACAATGTGTACTGACTGTTTAATGAGAAGCTAGTTTGTTCTATAAACCTTCATCTAAAGTACAAAAAAAAAAGTACATCATGAAAACAGGTATCAGTAAACAAAGTAAAATCTGTTTACTTTGGAGATTTAGACATACCTCTCAAAAGGAAAGTGGCCCTGGTATTCATGCAGAAGACACAGTGTACAGGTTAAGGAGGAATTTTACACTAAGGAGAGTTTTTTGCCAGTAGGGATTTTTCAGTTTTAGAATACTTGACAAAGAGTTAGTTGATTATGGGAGGCTGGGTCCTCTCCTCAGTCTCAGGCTGGTGTTCTCTACCCTGCGCCACTTTCCTTTGAACCTGTAATAAAATTTGGTAGGAATTCCAGTGATTTCATTTTGGAAAAGTTAAATGTTAAGACTCTTGTGTAGAAGTGTCTCCCACTCACTCTATGAACAGTGAACGTTGTGTTTCAGGAGCATGCGGTCACCATGCCCTGCACGTGGGTGATGGCGTGTGCCTACGCCCCATCAGGATGCGCCATTGCGTGTGGGTAAGTAGGGGCTGCAGCCTTTCAGCTTCACTCTTAGCCAGAAAATAGTCTTCTGCTGGCAAAACAAGCAAACAAGAGCTTGTAATTATTTTTGTTTACTTTTCAGGCAACATGTTAAATTCCTCCTGAACTTTATCAGGAAAGAAGAAACCACAAAAATTTTTCATAATTATTTTCATTACAATCTGACAGTAGTGTTAAGTTTCACACCTGCCCCCTCTACTCTCCAGTGCAGTTGGTGGGACTATTAATTGGTGCAAGTTTTGGAAAGCAAGTTGGTAACGTGTATCAAAAGCCTTAAAAATGTATAACCTAAGTGATACTCGTGAGGAGTGTGCCTCGTAGCTCAAGGAGATACAAGAGACTAAACAGGCAGCTTCTGCCCGGAGGTGAGATGGGAAGGTAGAGAGGGTTACGAGCTGGTTGAATGGACATGGGGAATCAGGGGTGGAAAGGAGGAATGTGCTGTCACAGTATGGGGAGAGCAATTAGAGTCACATAACAATGTATATATAAATTTTTGGATGGGAAAAAAAACTGGAAAAAAATAAAAATAGAAAATGAAGAGAAAAATGTATAACCTTTGATTTGGTGATTCCATATCAAGGAACCTGTTCTAAAGGAATGATCAAAATATAGAAAAGCCTCATGAACAATAACATTTACTTTAGCATTGTTTAAAATAAACCAAAAAAAGAAAAAATATGTCCAGCAAAGAAGAACTAAATAAATTATGATATATGAATGGACTACTATACAGCCATCAAAAAGGAAAACACTTAATTGCAGTAAGTGAAAAGAGCAGCAAAGTTACTAGGAAGATTGTGCCTTGTTTTCTGTTCCCCTGGAACTCAGTTTAACAAGGTTGCCAGCGAGAACTGAAACCAACGTAATTCCCCATCCCTGTGTTAAACAGTGGAGTCCTGGTGGTGCGGCGGTTAAGTGTACGGTTGTTAACCAAAAGGTCGGCAGTTCAAATCCACCAGCTGCTCCTTGGAAACCCTATGGGGCAGTTCTTCTTGGAATCAACTCAGGCACAATGGGTAAATAGAACCCAGTGGGAGGGATTGACTGGGGGCAGGGATGCAGGAGGAAAGAGAACACTTTATAGCTTTCTGGTGACGTGCCCGGAAGCAGAGGCAGGGTTCAGAGTGCAGGGATGGCTGGTGTCTTAGTCTTGTTCATCCCTGTTTCCCCGGGCCCTGACACATGGTAGATGGTCATTCCCCTTACTGGTTGCCCCACAGGTTGAGAACCAAAGCAGATGAAGTTCAGGTATAAATATTTGTGAAAGCATTTTTTATAATGTGGTGATCCAGTGGGTGAGGAGAGAGCATCAAAAATTAAACTCAGAAATACTAAATCCTCATCTTAAATAATAGCACCATCTCGCCTACTCAGAGGCATCCCTGGGTGGCACAAAAACTTAAGAGTTCAACTACTAGCCAAAGGGTTGGTGGTTCAAGCCCACCCAGTAGCTTCGCAGAAGACAGGCCTGGCAGTCTGCTTTTGAAAGGTCACAGCCTTGAAAACCCTATAGAGTGCAGTTCTACTGTGACACACATGGGGTCACCATGAATCACAGTCGACTCAGTGGCAACTAACAACAATAACCCCTACCTAGACCTTTTCCTAGAACTACTAAGCAACTGTGGTTCCTCCGAGATTTTAGTGGTAAGTCTGACGTAATGTGTCCTAGCCATGGTTTGTTACTTCACATTAACTCCATTATCACACAGACATACCTAAGCCACATTCACTATATATCTTCATAGGTAAGAAAGGGAGTCTTTTGACCTCCACCTGCCTGACTCCTAGGTCTGTCTTCAAGTGGTTCCAAACTTGAAGCTAACACACCAACAGTATTGACACAACTTCCTTCTCCAAAAAAAAAAGTGTTTATCAGTTTGTATTTAAGTATTTTTTATTTGAGAGCCATGTCCCCACAAAGCCTGTCAAATGGGAACCTAATTTGCTGTGTAAACTTTCACCAAAAACACAATAAAATACTATTTTAAAAAATGATAAAACATAGTTCCTGCCTCCAAGCAGGAAGAGATAGAAAAATAATGATAATGACCACATATTGAGCACCTACTGTGTGTCAAGTGCCATACTGAACTCTTTACACAATCCTCACAACAGCCCCTTGGGGTAGGTAGGTGGGATTTGCTCCATTTTATAGTTGAGGAAAGTGAGACTCAGAGAAACCTAAGAGACATGACAAAGTTGGTTCCTGAAGCAGAGATTCAATGCCAGAAGCATCACACTGTGAAGGTTCTCCCTCTTGCAGCAATACAAATCACCCCAAGTAATACGTAGCCAACAGAGCTACAGAGAAGTTACTCTGAAGCTTCAGAATGGGGAGGACACACCTGGCTTTGAGAATTCAAGGAAGACTATCTTCCACTGCATGCTTGTTCATTGCCACAGCCTAAGTACAAATCATTCTCACACACACAAGCCATAAATAAGCTTGCCAAAGCTAATTACTGAAAATAAAACCCAAGTCTACACCTATACCCCTAAGCAGTTGAGAAGGCAAAAAGCTTCCCCTCAAAAAAGAAGAACCCCATTGTATGTCTTAATCTCCACTAAGAGGAGGCTGGGCTCCTTGGAGTAAGAAAGAATAAAGCAAGCCTGGGCTGCTGTTGTTGCAGAAAGCAAGGAGATGCTTGAGGACCAGTGGGACCATATCAGAAGGAAACAGCTGGCTTAGAAAGGCTTCCGCTGTCCAAATTTGGGACAATATGAGATCAAATAGAATCATTACAGTAATGGATGATAACACAATTGAGGGGGAAAAGAAACCCCGAATGTTCAGTGATAACTGGGAGAAGGGAGGAATTCTTCTTTACAGAAAAAGAAGCCCAGGCTCGTTGCCGTCGAGTCAATTCCACCTCATAGTGACCTTATAGGACAGAGTAGAACTGCCCCATACGGTTTCCAGGGAGCGCCTGGTGGATTCAAACTGCCAACCTTTTGGTTAGCAGCCATAGCTCTTAACCACTGTGCCACCAGGGTTTCCTTACAGAAAAGGACCAGCTAACGAAATGCAGAAGGGATTATCAAATTAGAAAATCACCATTTTACACCCCTAAAGTGGTATTTGATTCAAACATAGATAATCATGCTAAAACCATTGTATGAAAGGTTCTTGGAGAACAGGATAGTCTCATGATCTCAAAGTATCAGACCACAGACTATGACTGATTACAAAGGGAGAAATGTACTTTGACAGTGGAAAGACCTGCCAGTCCCCACCTTCACCAAGTAACCAACATTAACATCACTGATAGTGGCCCCCTGCGGTGAAGCACACAGTACCTTTGTACACAAGTCCTCTGTAGTATTATTGCCAAAAGTGTTAAACTTTAACCACTAACAACATCATGAACATAATGTCAGTAAACTATAGGTGTGAAGATTGTTGAAATGGCAAATGTTTTGTTACGTATGTGTTTATCATAATAATAAAAAAAGAAAACAATGTGACAAATCCAGAGTGGGTGATGTCTGTAAGTCAGCTGACCTAAGGTCTCACAGAAGTCACTGACATGAACAATAAAAATAGGTGGAGGGTCTGTTACAGATTAAAAGAGCTTAAACAGATTTAACAACAGAATCCAATGTGTGAGCCTTGATTGGGCCCTGGATCCTGGAGACAATCGGGGAAGACTGAATATGGGTGGCTTATTAGATGGTATTATGGAATTATTGTTCACTTTTCAGCTGTGATAATGAGATATGTGAGAATATTCTTATTTTTAGGAAATGTAAATTTGCACTTTGAAGTACTTAGGAGTAGAATGTCATGTCTGCAGCTTGCATCCACATAGTTCAGAGAGAGCTTGTGCAAATATAGCAAAATGTTAAGTTAGTGTTATGGGTGTTCATCGTACTATTTATTTTCTCAATTTTCCTGTAGGTTTGAAAATCTTCAAATAAAAGTTGGGGAAAAGGTTACAATATCTGATACTGCTAAAGGAAAAATTTTTTGAAAAGTTTATGCAAAAGTACTCTGTAAATGAGAAAGTATACAACATGTTTGACTGCCATATGTTAACATTTGACATTTCTTTGTTTCTGTGCTAGTGGTTTGGATAATAAGTGTTCTGTGTACCCACTGACTTTTGACAAAAATGAAAACATGGCTGCCAAAAAGAAGTCTGTTGCTATGCATACCAACTACCTGTCTGCCTGCAGCTTCACCAACTCTGACATGCAGGTAGGTAAGCAGCCCCGGTTTGGGTCCATCTACCCTTAGAGAACTAAGAGCAGCAGAGGAGCTGAAGGGAGAGGAGGCTTTTCTGGTGTCTCTTTTAACAGGACGGGGATGCTCCAGCAGTCTGCTCCAAGAGGACACTTCCGTTGGTTCTCATTGGTTACTGTTATTATTTTTAATAAAATCAAAGTGGGAAAATTGGGTCTAATTGGTTGTTAATACAGTTGAGATGAATCATCCATCATGTTGAAAATCCTCCTATGATTGACTTGGTGGGGATGGAACAGGGAACCCTCCGGGGTGGTGGAAATTACTACACCCTGATCTGAGAGGTGGAGAGGCAAGGAGCAGGTTCTCCTCTAGGGCCTCCAGAGGGAGCATGGCCCTGCCAACACCTTGATTTCAGCCCACTGAAACTAATACTGAACTCTGTTTTCCAGAACTGTGAGAGAATAGATTGCTGCTGTTTGAAGCCAGCGGGTTTGTGGTGATTTGTTACAGCAGCCACAGGGAACTAATAGAGTGAGCCAGCTGTTAGCCTTGCTGAATAAGCTATTTAGCTGATTCTGTCTTTTCTTCCAGGAGCAGATATTTCCTAGAGCAAGCAGCTAGGTTATTTTTCCTTGGTTCCAGAATCATTTATCACAGGAACAGGGAATTAATGTGTTGGTTTCAGTTCATACTGCCAACCTTGTTATACTCAGCTCAGGAGAGCAGAGACCAAGACATGATCTTCTGGAGACCCTAATGGCTAGCAGAGGGCCTGGATGTTGTCAGCACCAGCAAATTCTTGTTGAATCTGTGCATGCAAGAGTGCCCAGCACCTATCAGCGGCCCTGGGAGCCCCCGGGACACAGTCTGCTTTGGGGGAAAGCTGGAACAGGAGAGTGTCTACCCAAGTGCTGCCTGGACCCTTGCTGCCCCAGGTGTGGTCCAGAGACCAGCACGAGCATCACCTGGGAGCTTGTGAGAAATATAGACGCTCAGGCCTCACCCCAGGATCTTCACATAGCAAGAAGCCCTGGGTGACTTGCATGCACATTAAAGTCTGACAAGCACTGGGCTGGACAGCAGTGGGCTTGGCTGCACATGGGAGCTAGTCAAGGTCTGTTCAGCACTTCCTGCATGCCAGGCAGGTGCAAAGCCCTATAGGCACAGCAGTGAGGCCTCCGGGACTTCACACTCTGGAGGAAGACAAGCTCACAAACACAAACTCAAGGACAGTTGTAGTGTTGAAATGAACTTTTCCTTTCTCAGCAAGGGAGAAATATTTCTGTGCCAGTGAGGTGTGGCTGTAATTTGTATTCCTTGTAATGATAACAGTGGGGCAGTGGTGGTTCAGTGGTAGAATTTGTGTGTTCCATACAGGAGACCTGGGTTCAATTCCCAGCCAGTGCACCTCCTACACAGTCACCACCTGTCTGTCAGCGGAGGCTTCTGTGTTGCTGTGATGCTGAACAGGTTTCAGCGGAGCTTCTAGACTAAGACGAGCTAGGAAGAAAGACCTGGCAATCTACTTCTGAAAATCAGCAACTGCAACTGATCATGGGGATCGCGCAGGACCAGGCAGCATTTTGTTCCATTGTGCATGACGTCACCATGAGTCAGGGCGATGGCAACTAACAACAGTGATAACAACACTCTTGCTGTCTTTCAGATCCTGACGGCGAGCGGTGACGGGACATGTGCCTTGTGGGATGTGGAGAGCGGGCAGCTGCTGCAGAGCTTCCATGGACACGTGGCCGACGTCCTCTGCTTGGACCTGGCCCCTTCAGAAACTGGAAACACCTTTGTGTCTGGGGTAAAGACCCAGGGAAAATCTCTAAGGGTCCTGTGTCCACTAGGGAGACTTAGGCTAGCCGTTTTTGTCCGTGCATGCAGCTAGACTGGACACTTCCCTGGAAGGGAGTGCAGGCGCTGTCCTCAGTGCCCCTCTGCTCCCCTACGTCCTGTAGCAGTGGTGGACTGGCCCCAGGCCCTCGTGGGTGCTTGGTAGGGAGTTACAGTGTGGGGCTGTGAGGGTCTCCCCTGTTCTGCCACTGGTAGTCAGCAGTCCACACAGGGACCTGGAGTGCTCTCCTGCTGTGAACGCTGTGACTCAGAGTGCATGGTAGCCTCCTGGTAACATGTCATTCCTCAAATGGAAACAGAGAGAACATCTGAGAGACTTACAGACATGCCCCAAGAGCACCGAGAGGGGCAGACGGCTGCTGCTGTGAGGCAGGCTCGTGTGATGAGCGTTCTGGGGCTGGAGGAACACACCCCTCCCAGCCTCTGGCCTAATTTACAGATGATGAAGTTTAGAGTCGGGTGGCAAAACTGGGACCCGTGTGCCCTGATTCCTAGTCTAGTGCCCTCTGGGCTTAGGAAGGCAGACAGAGAGGAGGGAAAAAAGAAGGGAAAAGTGAGGAAGGGAAATGCCCAGGTAGAAGGTGAGAAAGATGCTCTTGAGGGTTTGCGTCCACTCAAAAATGTGTGAAAGAAGAAAACACGTTAAAGGGGGAAACCAGGCACCTGTCTTTGCTCCCTCCCACCCCAAGACCCACTTCTCCGTTCTGTGAGCTATCAGTTAAAGGAAGTACCCTTTGGTATATTGTCAGCCATTTACTCATGGGAAGTAAACAGTTTCTGTTTCATAACTGGAAGTCATGCCTTATCTATAGATGGTCCTTGTTGTAGCCATAACTCTGGATAACTTTGCATTTGTAGGGATGTGACAAGAAGGCCATGGTGTGGGACATGCGCTCTGGCCAGTGCGTGCAGGCCTTTGAAACACATGAGTCTGATATCAACAGTGTCCGGTCAGTGAGTAGAATCTTCACGTCACTTCTCTGTTCTGCAGGCTCCGCTGGGCCTTGAGTAATCCTTAGCCCAGGAACCACCCCTGGGCTCAGTTTACTTGGTTGAGAGAGGCCTCCCCAGCAACAGGGGCTGATTTGTGGTGGAGCTGAAGTGCACTCTGATCTCCTGGAGAATTTTAATTTAATTGCACTAGGGGCAATTGATATTATCCTCCCTAAATCATGTTGTTATCTCAATAAATGCTAGGAATGCCAATAAAATATAACACCTGCTTCTGGAAGACTTGTACTTAACATGATAAATAGTATACATTTAAATCAAAGATCAGTATTTCTCATTTGTTCAACAAATATTTACTGAGTACTTATATGTTAGTCAGAAACCCTAGTGGTGCAGTGGTTAAGAGCTATGGCTGCTAACCAAAAGGTCGCCAGTTCAAATCCACCAGTTGCTCCTTGGATACTGTATGGGGCAGTTCTACTCTGTCCTATAGGGTTGCTATGAGTCGGAATCGACTCGACAGCAACAGGTTTGGATTTATACGTTAGTCAGTATTCTAGGAGCTGGGAATACGTTTATGAACAAGATAGATAAGGTCTCTACTCTCCTAGAGGAGACAAACACAAATAAACAAATGTGCAATTTAATTTATTAATGAAGATGTGATGGGGTAAGTTGTTTCTTAGATAGAGTTGCCTGGGAAGCCCTCTCTTGAGAAGGTGACATTTAAGCTGAGGCCAGAATGATGGAAGAGCTAGGCTTGCAAAGAGTTAGGGGAAGAGTACAGAGATCTAACAAAAGGCCAGGTGGCCATTGGAGGTTTTTGAGTGGGAGTAGGGGGCGGTAATATGATCTGTGTTTTGCCATTAAAAGAACACTCTGGCTTCTGTATGGAGAATAGATCGTAGGGGAGCAAGAATGGAAGTACGAAGTTGGAAGGTTGTTGTGTGAGCTTTTGTTTCTGTTCAAGAAAGAAATAATGGTGGCTAGAAATAAGTCATAGTGGAGACAGAGAACTGTCAAGAATTGTGAAGGGTCTGAAACTTTACTGTACTTGGAAGCTAAAAAGTTAGACTAGCCACAGTTGCATGGATGCTGCTGGAAGACATGAGACTCCTAGGTCAGAGATAAAGGACAGTTTATACTCATAGTAATGGCAGTAGCCAGAGTATCCACATTTTTTTTGCTGGTTACCTGAGCCCCAATTCCACAGGGTAATGCAAAGAGGGCCAAACAACACCTGCCAACACAAGGGGTTATGTTACAGGAGAAGAACCCTGAGCTTAGATACCCGAATCTTTTATAATGGGCAGTAAGCAGTAATCCATTTCTAAGACAGGTAAGACTGGAGGGAGTGTAGGTACCAGGTGGTTGTGGTGCAGGGATTCAGGAGCTCTATTTCTGTTTTAAGTTTGAGATGCCTATTATACATCCAAGTGGAGATGTCAGGTAGGCAGCAGGACCTATGAACCAGATCCCAAAAGAGAAGTCAGAACTTGACAAGTAAATTGGAAGATGGCACTGTCTAGACAGTAAATAAAGTATAATTGCCCAAGAATCTTCGTTATGCTTAGTGGAGAAACACTAAACTTGCTCCCCATACAAGCAAGAACAAAATAAGGATACTTATTTAGCTTAGTACTAGAAATGTTAGTAAGAATTTTTCTCTTCTGCCCTTAAATACAGGATAAGGAAAAAGAACTACCACTTTTTGCAAATGTACACTAATTACCTAGATCAAAATAAGTCAATCCAGAAATTACTACAGATAGTAAATGAAGTTAGTAAGATGCAGGATAGAAGATAAATCCACAAAAATAAATCGCTATTTATTATTGAAATACAGCTTAAAAATACATATTCTCTCACCCATGGTGTTCTCTCTACTCTGAACCCTCTTCCTTTAACATCTGTTAGACCATCAGGTCTCAACTTAGGCTTCCCTCTCTCCAGGAATCCCTCCCTGAGTCTCTAAGGCTGAGTTAGGTGCCCTCCTGAGTGAGAGACTGATCATCCTGTATGGCCAGTTTAATCATCCATCTCCCCGCACTAGACTGTGTGCTCAGTAATTATTTGAGAAATTCAGAGAGGGAAATAAAAATGTATGGTAGTGACAAACCTTTAATTTATGAACTTTTAATGGAAGAAATAAGATATTAATAAACAGAGAATGTACCCTGTTCTTGGTAGGAAAGATCAAATATCATTTTTTAAATGACCACACTTTCTATATAGAGTGAATGCAGCACCAATTAATTTATTTGATAGAATGGTATAAATTGACACTTAGAATTATCTGGAAGATTCTACAGGGGCTGACTCAGTGGGCTATGTTCAGCTATCTTTTTGTTTCCTCCTGGGGTGAACATTTTGTTGCTGGTCTCATAGCATGCCCTTGGTTATATACTGGTCTAGTTAGGACATGGGTTTGTGTGACAGAGGCCCAAATAACGGTGGCTTGAATGAGAAGTTTATTCTCGTATAAAATCTGAGCTGCTATGATGGCTTATTCTATCTTTTTGCTACCCTATTCCTAGGATGGTATTTTCAACCTCATGGTCCAACTGGCCTACCACCATGTCTTCTTTCCAGCTAGTGGGAAAAGGAGAGTTAAGCTCATCACTCTGCTTACATCCCATTCACCAGAACTTGATTACATGGCCACACCTAGCTGCAGGAAAACTAGAAATGCTGTTTTCATTCTTCCATGTGCCCAGCAAAAAAAATCAATGTGTCTCAATGGGGCAGTATTGATACTTTGGGTAGGACATTTCTCCACTGTGAGGGACTGTCCCATGTAAGACACGTAGCATCCCTAGCGGCCTCAGGGCTAGTGCTAAATGCCAGTAACATCCCCTCGGCTTCGTGACAACCAGAAATGCCTGCTCATATTTAACCGCAACCATGGGGCAGGGGAGGATATTGGGGGCACCAAAAGTCTCTTCCAGATAAACCATGTATCCTGCACTTGGTCCCAGAATATCCTGCCAGTGGAGGGAAATCATGGCCCATGTGACCCTGAATGGAGAATAATATAGAAATCATTTTTAGTTGGCATTAGAAAATGGGAATATTCATAGTGCTTTTAGAAACACTGTTCCCACACCATGATCAGGCTGGAGCTGAAATTTTCAGCATGTCCCATCCAGATCTCCTGTTCTCCACCCTCTTCTTTCAGACCACTGATATTCACACAAAATCCGGCTTCCCTCTCCCTTGCCAAGCTTTCTCTGTCCTACCTCCTGAGGTAGGAGAGGTAATTCCATCTGCTGTTATAGAGGCCTCCTCTCCCAGCTTTGGTGGAGCAATGGAGTGTAGGTCATTTGTACAAGAAAGAGAAATGGTGGAAGGTGTGGAGGCCGCAGCTGGGTGGCAGCAGCAGAGTGGAAAGGTTGAAAGACCTTTGTTCTAATTCTGCCTTCGGTTTATAATCTAGTGCTAATATTTCCCACTGATCATTGAGAAGAGAATGACTATAGCAATAATAACCATCGCTTACTGAATGCTTTTTATTGACACCAGGCCAGATTCTTTGCGTGTACTGTCTAATTTAATCTTCACAACAGGAATGTGCACTATTATCCTCACTTTTCAAATGAGGAAACTGAGGCTGGGGAAGGTTAAGTCACTTGCTGAAGTGTGACATGTAGTAAGTGGTAGACGCAGAGTCCTGAACTTGACTCTACACATCTGTTTCCAGAGTCTTTATCTACAGCCACATTCTTAACCCTGGGCTCTGGTGCATCGCATTTACCCCTCACCAACACTGCCAGGCCAGTGTCACTGTCCCCATGTAAGAAAACTGGAGGCCAGTGGGCCTGCCATGGGAGCCCCCATTTCTGGTCTGTGAAAGGAGTGGGCCTTATGTCCCGGAACTTGGAGATTCTGATTATGAGATCCTGGCGTGGGCTAAGCCTTCCCAGATGGTTCTGATGGGCATCCAGCTTTGGGAATCACTGCTCTAAACAAAGTTTATCTTTGCAGATACTACCCAAGTGGCGATGCCTTTGCTTCAGGATCAGATGATGCTACGGTATGCTTCTAAGTTATCGAGAGCTTCTCATTTCTAAAGAGAAATATGTTGTCTAACAATTTTACTTTTTAAAAATAACTTTTCTGGTTACCAAAGTAGTAGGTATTCATTGAAGAAAACTTGAGGAAAAAATTAAGTCACCTTAACTTCCCTACCAAAGAAAAATCACAGTTGGGTGAATTCCTTTCTGTCTTTTTATTTTTAAACGGAAATATTTCATAGTTTGCTTTTTTTCACGTAGCAATTGATTGTGACTATTTTCCCACACAGATACATATTTTTCTAGATTCTTACTTTTAATGATTGGATAGTACTCCGTGTTATGGACATGTCATAATTTACTTAACCAGTCTTCAGTGTTTGGATTTTTTTTCCTTTTAAAAATACTGCTATAAATTTTTTAGATAAATGTTTTTGGTACATCTCTTATTATTTCCTTAGGATTAATTCTCATACATGGATTTACTGTATCAAAAATAGGCCCAGTTTTAAGGCTTCTGACACTATCAAATTGCATTGGCCTATTTTTCAAGGGAAAAAATACCTATTTTTCTGCCTTCAGAATATCAACTATCTTATTAAATAGTGGGTTTCATTGTGATCTGCTGCTTTGCAAGGAATTACAAAGCCATAGATTGAGAGTTTGACCATAATGAAAATTGAAAACTATATGTCAAAACGCATATAACAAGATATAAGGGTATACATTTTGGAAAAGTCTTCGCCTCATATATGACAGACCTAGTTGAAATTCTCTAGATGTGAATGGGGTTGTAAAATCATAAAATGACCACCCTGATAGAAAAGAGGATAAAACGCAGACTGACAAAAACAGTAAATCCAAAACGGCAAATAAACATCTGAAAATGTTTTCAGAGTCACCTGTAATCAAAGAAATGCAAATTTAAGCAATCAGTTGCCGTTTTTGCCTCTTGGATTAGCAAAGAAACGCCCAGTGGTGGAGATGGAGCATCAGACATGCCCAGGGTCATCAGTGCCATTGGTTTAACACCCTTCTAGCAGGCAGTTTTGCAGTAAGAATTGATTATAATTATGAATCAAGGGCTTTCACAACATCCTCATCTTTTGATCTGATCATGCTATTTCTTGGAAACAATTCTTTCTATTCCTTAGCTATTCTAAGGAAACAGTCAGAAATAAGTACAAAGATTTTTATGTAAGAATTAAAAAAAAAAAAAAACAACCAAACCTGTCGCCGTCTAGTCAATTCTGACTCATACCAACCCTATAGGACAGAGTAGAACTGCATTATACGGTTTCCAAGGACCGGCTGGTGGATTCGAACTGCTGACTTTTTGGTTAGCAGCCGAGCTCTTAACTACTGTGCCACCAGAGCTCCAATTAAGAATAGTTATCATAATATTATTTATAAAGAAAAATTACAAACAACCAAAATACCTAACAATGGATGGCTAAGTAGATTCTGCAGTGTCACCATGAGGAATGTTCAATGACCATGTAAATCATGTTTTCTGAAGATGTTCAATGATGTGGGAAAATAGTCATGACATAATGTTAATAGAAACAATAATGAAACGACCGCATTGAAATACACACATAAAATAGAAATAAGAGTTAAGGAAATAGTCCATATGTTAGTAATTATGTCTAAGATTTCAGGTGACTTATTTCCTTCCTAATGCGTTTCTAAATTTTCTGAATTTTTGACACTGAACATGTATCAGGAAACAAAGGAGGTGATGTTTTTGTTCCTGAATGGATCTTCTGCGTTTTCTGTTTATTGACTCTGCCCTGATTCACAGGGAGGGACTCATAGGAGTCCGGGTTGAGGGATGGAATCCTAGGAGAGATTTTTCCCTCTCCAAGCCAAGGAGCCTTTCTGTAGCTTTGTAGTCACCGCCTCACCAAACTGGAGCCAGAGCTAAGTGCTTCTGTGTCTATTTGCCTCCAGTGTCGCCTCTATGACCTCCGGGCAGACAGGGAGGTCGCCATCTATTCTAAAGAGAGTATCATATTTGGAGCATCCAGCGTGGACTTCTCCCTCAGTGGTAAGAATTTTATTTCAGAAACTTTCCTAGGACTGTAAAACTGGACCTGAATGAAACCAAGCTCACCAACAAGCTTCCCATCAACCAAACTTTCTGTGCATCGATATGCTAATATCTGTGCTAGCACCAGGACCTCTGGTGGCCCAGTGGCGCGGTGGTTAAAGCTCTCAGCTGCTAACCGAAAGGTTAGCAGTTCGGACCTGCCAGCAGCCGCCTCTCCGGAAAAAGATGTGGCAGTCTGCTTCTGTAAAGATTTGCGGTCTTGGAAACCCTATGGGGCAGTTCTACTCTGTCCTGTAGGGTTGCTATGAGTAGGAATTGACTCAACGCAATAGTTTTTTGGGTGTTTTTGTTTTTGGTGCTTGCGCCAGCTTTTCTCCGCTGTGCTTCTTGCCCCGCACTTGGCCCATCCCTGCTTTGAGACAGCAAGCACTCTGTCCGCAGCTGATCTGCCCAGCCTGATTGATTGTGCCCCACCTAATGCTGTCCTTCAAGGCAGTGATGTATCTAAACTTCACACCTGCAGTGCCCTTGGCATTTCCTCCCCCACAGGAAAGGGGACTTTTATCAGTGGTGAGGGGGTAAAAGAAGAGTCCATTTTCAGTGTCCTGAAGCTTGTGGCGCTTCTGCCCCCACAGCTGGGGAGGCTGCTAGTGAAGGTGAAGGCAACGCTGACAGGCTGGGTCACTGGACCATTCGTTATCCCCAGACACACACCCCTAGGCTGTCTGTGTGCCTTTGTGCACACATGCTGCATTCTGCCTGGACATCTTTCTCCTATCTCTGCATGACGAACTCCTACTCAGCCTTCAAGATCCAACTCCAGTATTTTGCCTCTGTAATGCCTTCCTTGATCCCTCTTCCTCTAGGATCCCATAGCACTTTACACATACATAAGCACTTAGATTATAGCTCTTACACGTGGTACTACAGCAGCTTGTGTCTGTTCCCCACCACCTCCACCTCCATCTCCATGGCGGGCAGGGACTTCTTTCTCCTCTTTGAGTCCCCAGGGCAAAGCACAGTGCCTGGTAAATACCATTACCAGTGCTAGCTACTATAGAGTCAGTTTCAATTCATGGTGACCCCAGGCGTATCAGAGTACAGCTGTGCTCCATAGAGTTCCAAAGCTTCTTTGTCAGAAGTGGATCGCCAGGCATTTCTTCCAAGGTACTTCTGAATGGACTTAAATCTCTAGTATTTCGGTTAGCAGCCAAGCGTGTTAACCGTTTGCACCACTCAGGGATGCCTGGCACATATTAGGTGCCACCGAGTCAGTTCCAACTTACAGCGACCCTGTGTACAACAGAACAAAACACTGCCCGGTACTGTGCCATCCTCACAATCCTTAGGCTTGAGCGCATTGTTGCAGCCACCGTGTCAGTCCGTCTCATTGAGGATCTTCCTATTTTTCGCTGACCCTCTACTTTACCAAGCATGATGTCCTTCTCCAGGGACTGGTCCCTCCTGATAACACATCCAAAGCATGTGAGACAAAAGTCTCGCCATCCTTGCTTCTAAGGAGCATTCTGGCTGTACTTCTTCCAAGACAGATTTGTTCCTTCTTCTAGCAGTCCATGGTATATTCAGTATTCTTTGCCAACACCATAATTCAAAGGCATCAATTCTTCTTTGATCTTTCTTATTCATTGTCCAGCTTTCACATGCATATGAGGTGATTGAAAACACCATGGCTTGGCTCAGGTACACCTTAGTCCTTAAAGTGATATCTGTGCTTTTTAACACTTTAAAGAGATCTTTTGCGGCAGATTTGCTCAGTGTAGTGCGTCGATTGATTTCTTGACCACTGCTTCCATGGATGTTGATTGTGGATCCAAGTAAAATGAAATCCTTGGCAACTTCAATCTTTTCTCCGTTTATCATAATGTTGCTTACTGGTCCAGTTGTGAGGATTTTTGGTTTTTTTATGTTGAGGTGTAACCCATACTGAAGGCTGTGGTCTTTGATATTCATCAGTGCTTCAAATCCTCTTCACTTTCAGCAGACAAGGTTGTGTCATCTGCATGTCAAATGTGGTTTATGAGTCTTCCTTCAATCCTAATGCGACATTCTTCTTCATATAGTCCAGCTTCTTGGATTATTTGCTCAGCATACAGATTGATTAAGTATGATGAAATGATGCAGCCCTGATGCACACCTTTCCTGACTTTAAACCACGCACTATCCCCTTGTTCTGTTCGAATGACTGACTGCCTCTTGGTCTGTGTACAGGTTTCTCATGAGCACAAGTAAGTGTTCTGGAATTCCCTTTCTTCCCAATGTTATCCATAATTTGTTATGATCCACATAGTCGAATGCCTTTGCAAATTCAGTAAAACACAGGTAAACATCTTGTATTCTTTGCTTTCAGCCATGATCCATCTGATATCAGCAGTGATATCCCTTGGTCCATGTCCTCTTCTGAATCTGGCTTGAATTTCTGGCAGTTTCCTGTCAATGTACTGCTGCAACCGCTTTTGAATGATCTTCAGCAAAGTTTCCCTTGTGTATGATATTAATGATACTATTTGATATTTCTGCATTCTGTTGGATCACCTTTCTTTGGAATGAGCACAAATATGGATCTCTTCCAGTCGGTTGGCCAGGTAGCTGTCTTCCAAATTTCTTGGCATAGATGAGTGAGCACTTCCAGTGCTGCATGCATTTGTTGAAACATCCCAGTTGGTATTTCGTCAATTCCTGGAGCCTTGTTTTTCGCCAGTGTCTTCAGTGCACCTTGGGCCTCTTCTTTCAGTACCATCGGTTCTTGATCATATGGTACCTCCTGAAATGGTTAAACATCAACCAATTATTTTTGGCACGGTGACTGTGTATTCCTTCCATCTTCTTTTGATGCTTCCTGCATCATTTAATATTTTCCCTGTAGAATCCTTGAATATTGCAGCTTGAGGCTTGAATTTTTCTTCAGTTCTTTCAGCTTGAGAAATGCCAAGCGTGTTCTTCCCATTTGGTTTTCTAACTTCAGGTCTTTGCACATTTCGTTATAATACTGTACTTTGTCTTCTCCAGCCACCCTTTGAAATCTTCTATTCAGCTCTTTTACTTCATCATTTCTTCCTTTTGCTTTAGCTACTCGATGTTCAAGAGCAAGTTTCAGAGTCTCTTCTGACATCCATTTTGGTCTTTTTTTTCTTTCCTGTCTTTTTAATGACTTTTTGCTTTCTTCATGTATGGTGTGCTTGATGTCATCCCCCAACTCATCTGGTCTTTGGTCGTTAGTATTTAATCGTCAAATCTATTCTTGAGGTTGTCCCTAAATTCAGGTGGGATATACTCAAGGTCATACTTCGGCTCTCATGGACTTATTCTAATTTTCTTCAGCTTCAACTTGAACTTGCATATGAGGAATTGATTGTTTCACAGGTGGCCCCTGGCCTTGTTCCAACTGATATTGAGCTTTTCCATCATCTCTTTCCACAGATGTAGTCGATTATGTAGTAGATATGTACCTGTGCTGTGTCTTGCCTGGCACATAGTAAATGCTAAATCACTTAGTTTATTAATTGAATGAATTGTTTACTGAATGAATGACAGTTAATGAAATGAAGACAGGAAGGAAGACACTGGTGTAAAAAACATCATGCTGCAAAAGCAGTTTCACTACAGTGGCACTACAGATATCTTCCCCCTTCAAGGTCGCCTGTTGTTTGCCGGCTACAACGATTATACTATCAATGTCTGGGATGTTCTCAAAGGGTCCCGAGTTTCCATCCTGTTCGGACATGAAAACCGCGTTAGTACTCTACGAGTTTCCCCTGATGGGACTGCTTTCTGCTCAGGATCGTGGGATCATATCCTAAGAGTAAGAGATTTGTTTTTCAATTTTATCCTGTGTGTGAGAGGAGAGAAGAGAGTTGACTGGCCTTCCTTAAAGCGGAAGGGTCAGAGTTAGCTAAGATGTGCCTGGTCACCCAAGGAGAGCTCTGATTTTAGCTCTGCCCATAGACAAAGAAATGAGCTGCCTAGGAAGGTTACGAGGCTCCCACCAATACAAGTGTTCAAGTTAGACTAGACAGCTATGCACAGGGAAACCTGTGAGAGCTGGGGCTCGGCCGGACCGCCTTGCTTTTCTGGGTCTCACAAGTTTTCTGCCTCTCACAGTGTACAGTCTTACCACTTTTCTATCTGTCCTTTTAGTGGAAAATATTTGAGTTTTCCTTCTCTGACAGGTTTTCCGCCTTACATGGGTTCCAGCTTTCACAGATTTTACTGTTATCAGCATGTAGCTGAGGGAATAGTTAGGCTAGATAATCCAAAATGGTTCCTTTTGACCCTAAAAATCTAATTCCTGTGATTCTTACCTTTGGCCATCTGCAGATTACCTCTCCTGCCTCCCTGTAGTCCAGGTTCTTCTCTGTGGTCCCAGACTCCTGTGTGCATATGTGCATTTTTCTGGGAAAAGCGTCCTTGTAGTTTTTATCAGATTCTCAAGAGTTCCATGACCTTGTCAAAGGTTTGCTCCCTGAAAATATGACCAAAATAGCCCATTCATAAAGCAAAGCTAAGTTTATTGTGTACCACAGTGTAGAAGATCACAAACTTGACAGTCTTAGTAGCATTTCAGAAGAGGAAAACAAAGGCAGATAATTGTGAGGTTTTGGGGGTCTGGTTTAAGACAGGTCTTTTGATTGGGGAACTTAATTAGGATTGGATAAATTTGTAGCATAATATTTTAAGATTGTTGGACACAGGGTAGGGGCAGGGGAAGGATTTGGAAGGAAGTCTTAAAGAGTAAACAGTCATTTGTTGCTCTGTATTGTCCTGAGAAGTGGATATCTTTTCTAAAGAAGGTAAGTCGAGTATCTAATATTAGGGTAAATGGATAAATGGATATTCAGGAAGTTCCTGAAGCAGACAGTAACATTATTTGCAACTCCACCTTCCTGGGCAAGAGTTTCCTGAATTAGTGAAGTCATGCTAATGTATAGATAAGCTGTGTGGGTGTAGATGGTTTCCTTCTCAACCTAAAATAGTTACCAACTGCTAGTAAGGGTGCCCAGATGTCCTTCAGATGATCACCGTAGCTAAGGGAAAGAGGAAAGGGTCCGTGCAACACCTTGGAGTTACTAGGAGTAAAGGTGATCCTTCTAAGACACGTGAATGCCTGACTTTGCATGGAGTGCGTGTGTGTGTGTGTGTGTGTGTGTGTGTGTGTGTGTGTGTGTGTGTGTGTGTGTCTGTCTGTATGTCTGTCTAAAAGACTCTGGTTTTCTCTCTTTAAACTCAAGTTTTACGAGTTGTTAACTATTAAGGGACTAAAAATGATCTCTTTGTGTTTTTGCAGGTTTGGGCTTAACTGTCTTCTCACAAGGCACACAGAGGGACCTGAGGGTAGAGTCTGACATCTTCACATGTAGATAAATATTACTTTTAGACAATCTGAGGGTTCATTGCAACTTAGCTCAAGGGAGCAACTCCATAGCTGCCTGAGTATGTGTGTGTGCACCTATAGCACTACTGAAACGAGCACCCCCGGGAGGGTGCTAGTGTGAGCCTTCAGCACAGCGGGACATATTCAAGTCAGTGTTTCCATTTTAAACACCTTCTAAAATTTCTCTCTTTTTAAAGTTATTCTAAATTATACTTGTCTAAATTCATTCTATTACCAGTACAATTCAGCTTTTAATATATTCCATGTTATTTTCTTGAATCAAATTCGTTTTAAGAGTACCTTAAACTTTTCGGAGCCCTGGTGGTGCAGTGGTTAAGAGCTCAGGCTGCTAGCCAAAAGGTTGGCAGTTTGAATCCACCAGCTGCTCCTTAGAAACCCTATGGGGCAGTTCTACTCTGTCCTATAGGGTCGCTATGAGTTGGAATTGACTCCATGGCAACGGGTTTGTAAACTCTTGTGGTTTATCTTGGTGTGCACTGTGAGTTCTGGAACCTTCCTCTAGAAATACTGATTGTAATGAGGACTGTGTTAAATGGTTTATGACAGAAGAAAAAATTCCAAATCCAATTAGACAAAATTGTTTTTAGAAATTGTGTTTTAATGTAAAAGTATATTTTTCTGTCTCACTTCGTATTGTCTTTTTTCACATAGAACATTTTCAGTTGTGTAAACTGATTATAGACAAAGCAGAGATATACATAAAGGGGTTGAGACTGTTCCATCTGTGAATTATATGATGGTGTGATGTGTCACTGTATCACTTGAGCAGAGCATTTTCTTCATTTGAGGGAAAGACTGAATGCTGTTTGTAATACAAATGCTTCTCAAAGAAATCAAAACCTTTTTGTGTGGGAACACAAGGCAGGAAACTTATTTAAAAACCTGTTTGTAGTGTTAGTGGAAACTAATTAAAGTTGATCTTGTTCCTATAAGTTATATTTATTGCATTGCAAGTATAATTTAATATACAGGTTAACTGATTGGTCTTGAATAATAATGTCTTTGTTCCTCTTACATAGAAAAAACTAAAAGTATATCTTGTCTTTATTGGAAATTCAGCAATTCATCTGGAAGATAGAGTGCTTTTTTTACAAGGATTTTTTATTTTCCTTTTTTTTAATGTGTAGAGGTTCATTCTTTGTTTTAGAAACTCTCCTTTCATAAAGATGGCATGCTTAGGTAAATAAAAGGTCACCTCGGACACCAAAAGTCATTCCTGGGTGAGGCTTGCCCTGTGGGTGGCCTGCCCAGCTAGGGCCTTTCCTGAGCGCAGTGGGCTCTGAGTCCCTGGGTTGCTGGGCCTCCTCCCCAGCCCAGCTCCAGCTAGCCCTTCTCGTAGTGGTAGTTCTGGCTTTGCAGGTGGAGCCCCAGGCCCTGTTCCTCAGAGACTCCCTTCCAGAGCCACAGCCAGGGATAGGCCCAGACCTGGTACTCCTAAAACATTGGGGTGCGGTGGGGGAGGCTACCAGGCCCACCCTCAGAACTGCTCATTCAGGTGTCATGATGGTCAGTCCATCAAAATTCAGTCAGACCAACTTTTCAGTCAACTCTTTTTAAGTAAACTTAATGGTTATAGTCAATCATTTGCCCAGCAAACATTTACCAAGGGTTTTACTACGCACTAGGGTGCTTGGAAACCCTGGTGACGTAGTGGTCAAGAGCTACAGCTGCTAACCAAAAGGTCAGCAGTTTAAGTCCTCCAGGCGCTCCTTGGAAACTCTATGGGGCAGTTATACTCTGTCCTATAGGGTCACTATGAGTTGTAATGGTCTCTGTCTCTCTCTCTCTCTCTCTTTTGTTTACAGAACAAAATAGTTTCTCATTAAACAGTTAGTACACATGTTGCCCTATGACAATGGTTAACAACCCCACTATATGTCAACACTGTCCTTACTCAACCTTGGGTTCCCTATCACCGGCTTTCCTATCAACTTCTGCCTTCCAGTCCTTGTCCCTGGACTGCTGGGCTTCATTAGTTCCATTTTGTTTTATGGGGCTGTCCAATCCCCGACTGAACGGTGACCCTCAGGAGTGACTTCACCACTGAGCTAAAAGGGTGTCCGGGGGCCATGTTCTCGGGGTTTCTCCAGTCTCTGTCAGGCCAGTAAATCTGGTCTTTTTTGTGTGTGTGTTAGAATTTTGTTTTACATCCTTCTCCAGCTTTGTCCAGAACACTCTGTTGTGATCCCGGTCAGAGCAGTCAGTGGCGGTAGCTGGGCACCAACTAGCTGTACTGGACTCAGTCTGGTGGAGGCCCTGGTAGCTGTGGTCCGTTAGTCCTTTGGACTAATCTTATCCTTGTATCCTGTTCTTTTCATTCTCCCTTGCTCCCAAGGGGGTGAGACCAGTGGAGTATCTTAGATGGCTGCTCACAGGCTTTTAAGACCCCAGATGCTACTCATCAAGGTAGAATGTAGAACATTGTCTTTA